AACACCTCCCAGATTGGTTTTCAATGAGGAACCACACATGGTAAGTAAACATGATTATAGACAGATCAACCTTTTTAGGGTTCGAACCTGCAGCCTTTGGGTAACCAGACTAGATTTTTCACCACAAGGCTACTTCTGAGTCATTGGATAGAGATCTCCCTCCTAAAACTTGAGGAGCAATTCAGATTAAATGTCACAAGTAAGAAACGTAACTACGGAAAGATAAATGGTGGTCAGAACTGCTTAGACTCAGATATCGGACTCAAAGATCTAACACATGCGGCAGTTTTGATGACTGCTTGACACAAAATGGATGACAGCTTCAAACGTCATTGATTCAGTCAAAAATTCCCATTTATCAAACTGAATATGCAATGTCAGCTCTCAGCGACGCAACCTTCAAACCTTGTGGACTTTAATTCGATACAAAGCAACGTATAGGAAGTATCAGATGCGCAAACAAACTATTGAGTTTGGCAAAACACAAGAGCATTAGAACGGATGATACGCAGTCAACATATCGAAATTATTCAAAATGTTTCAAGCAGCAGTATCTGATTATTACGAACCGCACAGACGTGCACACACACACACACACACACACACGGTCATGGTGTCAGCACACACTGAGATGCGCGGTGGTTCTGACTGTGCCCGTAAGGGGGAGATCAGTTCCGGTAAGTGGGTTACGACGGTCCTCTCCAGACAGCGGCACAGCAAGCAGCTAAATGATCAAACAGAGGAGGATTTGCCTCCTGTTCAGGGGGATTGGTAAGTGGAACAGCGCCGTGAAACATATACTACAATTAGTCTGGAAACTTCCTTCCCCTAGGTCAAAAGGATTACGTCAGGTTTTTGTCAGGTTTGAGCCATAAAGTAGTATTAAAATGCGGTAATAACATACTAGTATATAAAATAGAAGCATTTATACTATATCACACATAGTACGACTATTTATAATATAACATACTAAATGTATTATATTTTTTATATAATTAAATAATATATTATGATAACATTATATATCACTATATCTTTTTATATTATATAGGCTAGTAGTTCTCTTACTAAATTTCTATTGTTCTAATATATTAAAAAAAAATTATTTAATGATTTTATATATTTTGTACTATGTTGCTATATTATATACTATAGTATATATAGTGCAACTATATATAATAACATTAAATACATAAATACAAATGATTATATAATTAAATAATATATTATGATAACATTATATATCACTATATCTTTTTATATTATATAGGCTAGTAGTTCTCTTACTAAATTTCTATTGTTCTAATATATTAAAAAAAATTTATTTAATGATTTTATATATTTTGTACTATGTTGCTATATTATATACTATAGTATATATAGTGCAACTATATATAATAACATTAAATACATAAATACAAATGAAAATATATTAAAACAAATATTTTATTATAAATATTCTAATAAAATATTCTGTATATATATATATATATATATATAAAATGTATATTAATATATTTTACTAC